AAATTTTATTGCTTAGACCACATCGCTCGGAAGGTAGACCACATCGCTCTAAAATATGGGCGGAATGTAGACTACATCGCTCGGAAGGTAGACCACATCGCTCGGAAGGTAGACCACATCGCTCTAAAATATCGGCGGAAGGTAGACCACATCACTCGGAAGGTAGACCACATCGCTATAAAATAAGGGCGGAATGTAGACCACATCGCTCTAAAATATCGGCGGAAGGTAGACCACATCGCTCGAAAGGTAGACCACATCGCTATAAAATATGGGCGGAAGGTAGACCACATCGCTCGGAAGGTAGACCACATCGCTCGAAAGGTAGACCACATCGCTATAAAATATGGGAGGAAGGTAGACCACATCGCTCTAAAACATGGGCGGAATGTAGACCTCAACGCTCGGAAGGTAGACCACATCGCTCTAAAATATGGGCGGAAGGTAGACCACATTGCTCGAAAGGTAGACCACATCGCCCGGAAGGTAGACCACATCGCTCTGAAATATGGGCGGAAGGTAGACCACATCGCTCGGAAGGTAGACCACATCGCTCGGAAGGTAGACCACATCGCTCTAAAATATCGACGGAAGGTAGACCACATCACTCGGAAGGTAGACCACATCGCTCTAAAATATGGGCGGAAGGTAGACCACATCGCTTGGAAGGTAGGCTACATCGCTCGGAAGGTTGACCACATCGCTCTAAAATATGGGCGGAAGGTAGACCACATCGCTCGGAAAGTAGACCACATCGCTCTAAAATATGGGCGGAAGGTAGACCACATCGCTCGGAAGGTAGACCACATCGCTCTAGAATATGGGCGGAATGTAGACCACATCGCTCTAAAATATGGGCGGAAGGTAGACCACATCGCTCGGAAGGTAGACCACATCGCTCTAGAATATGGGCGGAATGTAGACCACATCGCTCGGAAGGTAGACCACATCGTTCGGAAGGTAGACTACATCGCTCTAAAATATGGGCGGAAGGTAGACCACATCGCTCTAAAATATCGGCGGAAGGTAGACCACGTCGCTCGGAAGGTTGACCACATCGTTCGGAAGGTAGACCACATCGCTGGAAAGGTAGACCACATCGCTCTAAAATATCGGCGGAAGGTAGACCACGTCGCTCTGAAGGTTGACCACATCGTTCGGAAGGTAGACCACATCGCTGGAAAGGTAGACCACATCGCTCTAAAATATCGGCGGAAGGTAGACCACATCGCTCGAAAGGTAGACCACATCGCTATAAAATATGGGCGGAAGGTAGACCACATCGCTCGGAAGGTAGACCACATCGCTCGAAAGGTAGACCACATCGCTCTAAAACATGGGCGGAATGTAGACCTCAACGCTCGGAAGGTAGACCACATCGCTCTAAAATATGGGCGGAAGGTAGACCACATTGCTCGAAAGGTAGACCACATCGCCCGGAAGGTAGACCACATCGCTCTGAAATATGGGCGGAAGGTAGACCACATCGCTCGGAAGGTAGACCACATCGCTCGGAAGGTAGACCACATCGCTCTAAAATATGGGCGGAAGGTAGACCACATCGCTCGGAAGGTAGACCACATCGCCCGGAAGGTAGACCACATCGCTATAAAATATGGGCGGAAGGCAGACCACATCGCTCTAAAATATCGGCGGAAGGTAGACCACATCGCTCGAAAGGTAGACCACATCGCTATAAAATATGGGCGGAAGGTAGACCACATCGCTCGGAAGGTAGACCACATCGCTCGAAAGGGAGACCACATCGCTATAAAATATGGGCGGAAAGTAGACCACATCGCTTTAAAATATCGGCGGAAGGTAGACCACGTCGCTCTGAAGGTTGACCACATCGTTCGGAAGGTAGACCACATCGCTGGAAAGGTAGACCACATCGCTCTAAAATATCGGCGGAAGGTAGACCACGTCGCTCGGAAAGTTGACCACATCGTTCGGAAGGTAGACCACATCGCTGGAAAGGTAGACCACATCGCTCTAAAATATCGGCGGAAGGTAGACCACATCGCTCGGAAAGTAGACCACATCGCTCTAAAATATGGGCGGAAGGTAGACCACATCGCTCGGAAGGTAGACCACATCGCTCTAGAATATGGGCGGAAGGTAGACCACATCGCTCTAAAATATCGGCGGAAGGTAGACCACGTCGCTCGGAAGGTTGACCACATCGTTCGGAAGGTAGACCACATCGCTGGAAAGGTAGACCACATCGCTTTAAAATATCGGCGGAAGGTAGACCACGTCGCTCTGAAGGTTGACCACATCGTTCGGAAGGTAGATCACATCGCTGGAAAGGTAGACCACATCGCTCTAAAATATCGGCGGAAGGTAGACCACGTCGCTCGGAAGGTTGACCACATCGTTCGGAAGGTAGACCACATCGCTGGAAAGGTAGACCACATCGCTCTAAAATATGGGCGGAAGGTAGACCACATCGCTCGGAAAGTAGACCACATCGCTCTAAAATATGGGCGGAAGGTAGACCACATCGCTCGGAAGGTAGACCACATCGCTCTAGAATATGGGCGGAAGGTAGACCACATCGCTCTAAAATATCGGCGGAAGGTAGACCACGTCGATCGGAAGGTTGACCACATCGTTCGGAAGGTAGACCACATCGCTGGAAAGGTAGACCACATCGCTCTAAAATATCGGCGGAAGGTAGACCACGTCGCTCTGAAGGTTGACCACATCGTTCGGAAGGTAGACCACATCGCTGGAAAGGTAGACCACATCGCTCTAAAATATCGGCGGAAGGTAGACCACGTCGCTCGGAAGGTTGACCACATCGTTCGGAAGGTAGACCACATCGCTGGAAAGATAGACCACATCGCTCTAAAATATCGGCGGAAGGTAGACCACATCACTCGGAAGGTAGACCACATCGCTCTAAAATATCGGCGGAAGGTAGACCACGTCGCTCGGAAGGTTGACCGCATCGCCCGGAAGGTAGACCACATCGCTATAAAATATGGGCGGAAGGCAGACCACATCGCTCTAAAATATCGGCGGAAGGTAGACCACATCGCTCGAAAGGTAGACCACATCGCTATAAAATATGGGCGGAAGGTAGACCACATCGCTCGGAAGGTAGACCACATCGCTCGAAAGGGAGACCACATCGCTATAAAATATGGGCGGAAAGTAGACCACATCGCTCTGAAATATGGGCGGAATGTAGACATCAACGCTCGGAAGGTAGACCACATCGCTCTAAAATATGGGCGGAAGGTAGACCACATTGCTCGAAAGGTAGACCACATCGCCCGGAAGGTAGACCACATCGCTCTGAAATATGGGCGGAAGGTAGACCACATTGCTCGGAAGGTAGACCACATGGCTCGGAAGGTAGAACACATCGCTCTAAATATCGGCGGAAGGTAGACCACATCGCTCGAAAGGTAGACCACATCGCTATAAAATATGGGCGGAAGGTAGACAACATCGCTCTAAAATATCGGCGGAAGGTAGACCACATCGCTCGAAAGGTAGACCACATCGCTATAAAATATGGGCGGAAGGTAGACCACATCGCTCGGAAGGTAGACCACATCGCTCGAAAGGTAGACCACATCGCTCTAAAACATGGGCGGAATGTAGACCTCAACGCTCGGAAGGTAGACCACATCGCTCTAAAATATGGGCGGAAGGTAGACCACATTGCTCGAAAGGTAGACCACATCGCTCGGAAGGTAGACCACATCGCTCTAAAATATCGGCGGAAGGTAGACCACGTCGCTCTGAAGGTTGACCACATCGTTCGGAAGGTAGACCACATCGCTGGAAAGGTAGACCACATCGCTCTAAAATATCGGCGGAAGGTAGACCACGTCGCTCGGAAGGTTGACCACATCGTTCGGAAGGTAGACCACATCGCTGGAAAGATAGACCACATCGCTCTAAAATATCGGCGGAAGGTAGACCACATCACTCGGAAGGTAGACCACATCGCTCTAAAATATCGGCGGAAGGTAGACCACGTCGCTCGGAAGGTTGACCGCATCGCCCGGAAGGTAGACCACATCGCTATAAAATATGGGCGGAAGGCAGACCACATCGCTCTAAAATATCGGCGGAAGGTAGACCACATCGCTCGAAAGGTAGACCACATCGCTATAAAATATGGGCGGAAGGTAGACCACATCGCTCGGAAGGTAGACCACATCGCTCGAAAGGGAGACCACATCGCTATAAAATATGGGCGGAAAGTAGACCACATCGCTCTGAAATATGGGCGGAATGTAGACATCAACGCTCGGAAGGTAGACCACATCGCTCTAAAATATGGGCGGAAGGTAGACCACATTGCTCGAAAGGTAGACCACATCGCCCGGAAGGTAGACCACATCGCTCTGAAATATGGGCGGAAGGTAGACCACATTGCTCGGAAGGTAGACCACATGGCTCGGAAGGTAGAACACATCGCTCTAAATATCGGCGGAAGGTAGACCACATCGCTCGAAAGGTAGACCACATCGCTATAAAATATGGGCGGAAGGTAGACAACATCGCTCTAAAATATCGGCGGAAGGTAGACCACATCGCTCGAAAGGTAGACCACATCGCTATAAAATATGGGCGGAAGGTAGACCACATCGCTCGGAAGGTAGACCACATCGCTCGAAAGGTAGACCACATCGCTCTAAAACATGGGCGGAATGTAGACCTCAACGCTCGGAAGGTAGACCACATCGCTCTAAAATATGGGCGGAAGGTAGACCACATTGCTCGAAAGGTAGACCACATCGCTCGGAAGGTAGACCACATCGCTCTAAAATATCGGCGGAAGGTAGACCACATCACTCGGAAGGTAGACCACATCGCTCTAAAATATCGGCGGAAGGTAGACCACGTCGCTCGGAAGGTTGACCACATCGCTCTAAAATATGGGCGGAAGGTAGACCACATTGCTCGGAAGGTAGACCACATGGCTCGGAAGGTAGAACACATCGCTCTAAATATCGGCGGAAGGTAGACCACATCGCTCGAAAGGTAGACCACATCGCTATAAAATATGGGCGGAAGGTAGACCACATCGCTCGGAAGGTAGACCACATCGCTCGAAAGGTAGACCACATCGCTCTAAAATATCGGCGGAAGGTAGACCACATCACTCGGAAGGTAGACCACATCGCTATAAAATATGGGCGGAAGGTAGACAACATCGCTCTAAAATATCGGCGGAAGGTAGACCACATCGCTCGAAAGGTAGACCACATCGCTATAAAATATGGGCGGAAGGTAGACCACATCGCTCGGAAGGTAGACCACATCGCCCGGAAGGTAGACCACATCGCTCTGAAATATGGGCGGAAGGTAGACCACATTGCTCGGAAGGTAGACCACATGGCTCGGAAGGTAGACCACATCGCTCTGAAATATGGGCGGAAGGTAGACCACATTGCTCGGAAGGTAGACCACATGGCTCGGAAGGTAGAACACATCGCTCTAAATATCGGCGGAAGGTAGACCACATCGCTCGAAAAGTAGACCACATCGCTATAAAATATGGGCGGAAGGTAGACCACATTGCTCGAAAGGTAGACCACATCGCCCGGAAGGTAGACCACATCGCTCTAAAATATGGGCGGAAGGTAGACCACATCGCTCGGAAGGTAGACCACATCGCTCTAAAATATGGGCGGAAGGTAGACCACATTGCTCGGAAGGTAGACCACATGGCTCGGAAGGTAGAACACATCGCTCTAAATATCGGCGGAAGGTAGACCACATCGCTCGAAAGGTAGACCACATCGCTATAAAATATGGGCGGAAGGTAGACCACATCGCTCGGAAGGTAGACCACATCGCTCGAAAGGTAGACCACATCGCTCTAAAATATCGGCGGAAGGTAGACCACATCACTCGGAAGGTAGACCACATCGCTATAAAATATGGGCGGAAGGTAGACAACATCGCTCTAAAATATCGGCGGAAGGTAGACCACATCGCTCGAAAGGTAGACCACATCGCTATAAAATATGGGCGGAAGGTAGACCACATCGCTCGGAAGGTAGACCACATCGCTCGAAAGGTAGACCACATCGCTCTAAAACATGGGCGGAATGTAGACCTCAACGCTCGGAAGGTAGACCACATCGCTCTAAAATATGGGCGGAAGGTAGACCACATTGCTCGAAAGGTAGACCACATCGCCCGGAAGGTAGACCACATCGCTCTGAAATATGGGCGGAAGGTAGACCACATCGCTCGGAAGGTAGACCACATCGCTCGGAAGGTAGACCACATCGCTCTAAAATATGGGCGGAAGGTAGACCACATCGCTCGGAAAGTAGACCACATCGCTCTAAAATATGGGCGGAAGGTAGACCACATCGCTCGGAAGGTAGGCCACATCGCTCTAAAATATGGGCGGAAGGTAGACCACATCGCTCGGAAGGTAGACCACATCGTTCGGAAGGTAGACTACATCGCTCTAAAATATGGGCGGAAGGTAGACCACATCGCTCGGAAGGTAGACCACATCGCTCTAAAATATGGGCGGAAGGTAGACCACATGGCTCGAAAGGTAGACCACATCGCTCGGAAGGTAGACCACATCGCTCGGAAGGTAGAACACATCGCTCTAGAATATGGGCGGAATGTAGACCACATCGCTCGGAAGGTAGACCACATCGCTCTAAAATATGGGCGGAAGGTAGACCACATCGTTCGGAAGGTAGATCACATCGCTGGAAAGGTAGACCACATCGCTCTAAAATATCGGCGGAAGGTAGACCACGTCGCTCGGAAGGTTGACCACATCGTTCGGAAGGTAGACCACATCGCTGGAAAGGTAGACCACATCGCTCTAAAATATCGGCGGAAGGTAGACCACGTCGCTCTGAAGGTAGACCACATCGCTATAAAATATGGGCGGAAGGTAGACCACATCGCTCGGAAGGTAGACCACATCGCTCGGAAGGTAGACCACATCGCTCTAAAATATCGGCGGAAGGTAGACCACATCACTCGGAAGGTAGACCACATCGCTATAAAATATGGGCGGAAGGTAGACAACATCGCTCTAAAATATCGGCGGAAGGTAGACCACATCGCTCGAAAGGTAGACCACATCGCTATAAAATATGGGCGGAGGGTAGACCACATCGCTCGGAAGGTAGACCACATCGCTCTAAAATATGGGCGGAAGGTAGACCACATCGCTCTAAAATATCGGCGGAAGGTAGACCACATCACTCGGAAGGTAGACCACATCGCTCTAAAATATCGGCGGAAGGTAGACCACGTCGCTCGGAAGGTTGACCGCATCGCCCGGAAGGTAGACCACATCGCTATAAAATATGGGCGGAAGGCAGACCACATCGCTCTAAAATATCGGCGGAAGGTAGACCACATCGCTCGAAAGGTAGACCACATCGCTATAAAATATGGGCGGAAGGTAGACCACATCGCTCGGAAGGTAGACCACATCGCTCGAAAGGGAGACCACATCGCTATAAAATATGGGCGGAAAGTAGACCACATCGCTCTGAAATATGGGCGGAATGTAGACATCAACGCTCGGAAGGTAGACCACATCGCTCTAAAATATGGGCGGAAGGTAGACCACATTGCTCGAAAGGTAGACCACATCGCCCGGAAGGTAGACCACATCGCTCTGAAATATGGGCGGAAGGTAGACCACATTGCTCGGAAGGTAGACCACATGGCTCGGAAGGTAGAACACATCGCTCTAAATATCGGCGGAAGGTAGACCACATCGCTCGAAAGGTAGACCACATCGCTATAAAATATGGGCGGAAGGTAGACAACATCGCTCCAAAATATCGGCGGAAGGTAGACCACATCGCTCGAAAGGTAGACCACATCGCTATAAAATATGGGCGGAAGGTAGACCACATCGCTCGGAAGGTAGACCACATCGCTCGAAAGGTAGACCACATCGCTCTAAAACATGGGCGGAATGTAGACCTCAACGCTCGGAAGGTAGACCACATCGCTCTAAAATATGGGCGGAAGGTAGACCACATTGCTCGAAAGGTAGACCACATCGCTCGGAAGGTAGACCACATCGCTCTAAAATATCGGCGGAAGGTAGACCACATCACTCGGAAGGTAGACCACATCGCTCTAAAATATCGGCGGAAGGTAGACCACGTCGCTCGGAAGGTTGACCACATCGCTCTAAAATATGGGCGGAAGGTAGACCACATTGCTCGGAAGGTAGACCACATGGCTCGGAAGGTAGAACACATCGCTCTAAATATCGGCGGAAGGTAGACCACATCGCTCGAAAGGTAGACCACATCGCTATAAAATATGGGCGGAAGGTAGACCACATCGCTCGGAAGGTAGACCACATCGCTCGAAAGGTAGACCACATCGCTCTAAAATATCGGCGGAAGGTAGACCACATCACTCGGAAGGTAGACCACATCGCTATAAAATATGGGCGGAAGGTAGACAACATCGCTCTAAAATATCGGCGGAAGGTAGACCACATCGCTCGAAAGGTAGACCACATCGCTATAAAATATGGGCGGAAGGTAGACCACATCGCTCGGAAGGTAGACCACATCGCCCGGAAGGTAGACCACATCGCTCTGAAATATGGGCGGAAGGTAGACCACATTGCTCGGAAGGTAGACCACATCGCTCGAAAGGTAGACCACATCGCTCTAAAATATGGGCGGAAGGTAGACCACATTGCTCGAAAGGTAGACCACATCGCCCGGAATGTAGACCACATCGCTCTGAAATATGGGCGGAAGGTAGACCACGTCGCTCGGAAGGTTGACCACATCGCTCTAAAATATGGGCGGAAGGTAGACCACATCGCTCGGAAGGTAGACCACATCGCTCTAAAATATGGGCGGAAGGTAGACCACATTGCTCGAAAGGTAGACCACATCGCCCGGAATGTAGACCACATCGCTCTGAAATATCGGCGGAAGGTAGACCACATTGCTCGAAAGGTAGACCACATCGCTCTAGAATATGGGCGGAAGGTAGACCACATCGCTCTAAAATATCGGCGGAAGGTAGACCACGTCGCTCGGAAGGTTGACCACATCGTTCGGAAGGTAGACCACATCGCTGGAAAGGTAGACCACATCGCTCTAAAATATCGGCGGAAGGTAGACCACGTCGCTCTGAAGGTTGACCACATCGTTCGGAAGGTAGACCACATCGCTGGAAAGGTAGACCACATCGCTCTAAAATATCGGCGGAAGGTAGACCACGTCGCTCGGAAGGTTGACCACATCGTTCGGAAGGTAGACCACATCGCTGGAAAGGTAGACCACATCGCTCTAAAATATCGGCGGAAGGTAGACCACATCGCTGGAAAGGTAGACCACATCGCTCTAAAATATCGGCGGAAGGTAGACCACATTGCTCGAAAGGTAGACCACATCGCTCGAAAGGTAGACCACATCGCTCTAAAACATGGGCGGAATGTAGACCTCAACGCTCGGAAGGTAGACCACATCGCTCTAAAATATGGGCGGAAGGTAGACCACATTGCTCGAAAGGTAGACCACATCGCTCGGAAGGTAGACCACATCGCTCTAAAATATCGGCGGAAGGTAGACCACATCACTCGGAAGGTAGACCACATCGCTCTAAAATATCGGCGGAAGGTAGACCACGTCGCTCGGAAGGTTGACCACATCGCTCTAAAATATGGGCGGAAGGTAGACCACATCGCTCGGAAGGTAGACCACATCGCTCTAAAATATGGGTAGACCACATTGCTCGAAAGGTAGACCACATCGCTCGAAAGGTAGACCACATCGCTCTAAAATATGGGCGGAAGGTAGACCACATTGCTCGAAAGGTAGACCACATCGCCCGGAATGTAGACCACATCGCTCTGAAAAAAAAAAAAATAATATAATATAAAATAATATAATATAAAATATGGGCGGAAGGTAGACCACATCGCTCGGAAGGTAGACCACATCGCTCGAAAGGTAGACCACATCGCTCTAAAATATGGGCGGAAGGTAGACCACATTGCTCGAAAGGTAGACCACATCGCCCGGAATGTAGACCACATCGCTCTGAAATATGGGCGGAAGGTAGACCACATTGCTCGGAAGGTAGACCACATCGCTCGAAAGGTAGACCACATCGCTCTAAAATATCGGCGGAAGGTAGACCACGTCGCTCGAAAGGTAGACCACATCGCTCTAAAATATCGGCGGAAGGTAGACCACGTCGCTCGGAAGGTTGACCACATCGCTCTAAAATATGGGCGGAAGGTAGACCACATCGCTCGGAAGGTAGACCACATCGCTCTAAAATATGGGCGGAAGGTAGACCACATTGCTCGAAAGGTAGACCACATCGCCCGGAATGTAGACCACATCGCTCTGAAATATGGGCGGAAGGTAGACCACGTCGCTCGGAAGGTTGACCACATCGCTCTAAAATATCGGCGGAAGGTAGACCACGTCGCTCTGAAGGTTGACCACATCGTTCGGAAGGTAGATCACATCGCTGGAAAGGTAGACCACATCGCTCTAAAATATCGGCGGAAGGTAGACCACGTCGCTCGGAAGGTTGACCACATCGTTCGGAAGGTAGACCACATCGCTGGAAAGGTAGACCACATCGCTCTAAAATATGGGCGGAAGGTAGACCACATCGCTCGGAAAGTAGACCACATCGCTCTAAAATATGGGCGGAAGGTAGACCACATCGCTCGGAAGGTAGACCACATCGCTCTAGAATATGGGCGGAATGTAGACCACATCGCTCGGAAGGTAGACCACATCGTTCGGAAGGTAGACTACATCGCTCTAAAATATGGGCGGAAGGTAGACCACATCGCTCTAAAATATCGGCGGAAGGTAGACCACGTCGCTCTGAAGGTTGACCACATCGTTCGGAAGGTAGATCACATCGCTGGAAAGGTAGACCACATCGCTCTAAAATATGGGCGGAAGGTAGACCACGTCGCTCGGAAGGTTGACCACATCGTTCGGAAGGTAGACCACATCGCTGGAAAGGTAGACCACATCGCTCTAAAATATGGGCGGAAGGTAGACCACATCGCTCGGAAAGTAGACCACATCGCTCTAAAATATGGGCGGAAGGTAGACCACATCGCTCGGAAGGTAGACAACATCGCTCTAGAATATGGGCGGAAGGTAGACCACATCGCTCTAAAATATCGGCGGAAGGTAGACCACGTCGCTCGGAAGGTTGACCACATCGTTCGGAAGGTAGACCACATCGCTGGAAAGGTAGACCACATCGCTCTAAAATATCGGCGGAAGGTAGACCACGTCGCTCTGAAGGTTGACCACATCGTTCGGAAGGTAGACCACATCGCTGGAAAGGTAGACCACATCGCTCTAAAATATCGGCGGAAGGTAGACCACGTCGCTCGGAAGGTTGACCACATCGTTCGGAAGGTAGACCACATCGCTGGAAAGGTAGACCACATCGCTCTAAAATATCGGCGGAAGGTAGACCACATCGCTGGAAAGGTAGACCACATCGCTCTAAAATATCGGCGGAAGGTAGACCACATTGCTCGAAAGGTAGACCGCATCGCCCGGAAGGTAGACCACATCGCTATAAAATATGGGCGGAAGGCAGACCACATCGCTCTAAAATATCGGCGGAAGGTAGACCACATCGCTCGAAAGGTAGACCACATCGCTATAAAATATGGGCGGAAGGTAGACCACATCGCTCGGAAGGTAGACCACATCGCTCGAAAGGGAGACCACATCGCTATAAAATATGGGCGGAAAGTAGACCACATCGCTCTGAAATATGGGCGGAATGTAGACATCAACGCTCGGAAGGTAGACCACATCGCTCTAAAATATGGGCGGAAGGTAGACCACATTGCTCGAAAGGTAGACCACATCGCCCGGAAGGTAGACCACATCGCTCTGAAATATGGGCGGAAGGTAGACCACATTGCTCGGAAGGTAGACCACATGGCTCGGAAGGTAGAACACATCGCTCTAAATATCGGCGGAAGGTAGACCACATCGCTCGAAAGGTAGACCACATCGCTATAAAATATGGGCGGAAGGTAGACAACATCGCTCTAAAATATCGGCGGAAGGTAGACCACATCGCTCGAAAGGTAGACCACATCGCTATAAAATATGGGCGGAAGGTAGACCACATCGCTCGGAAGGTAGACCACATCGCTCGAAAGGTAGACCACATCGCTCTAAAACATGGGCGGAATGTAGACCTCAACGCTCGGAAGGTAGACCACATCGCTCTAAAATATGGGCGGAAGGTAGACCACATTGCTCGAAAGGTAGACCACATCGCTCGGAAGGTAGACCACATCGCTCTAAAATATCGGCGGAAGGTAGACCACATCGCTCTAAAATATCGGCGGAAGGTAGACCACATCGCTCGAAAGGTAGACCACATCGCTATAAAATATGGGCGGAAGGTAGACCACGTCGCTCGGAAGGTTGACCACATCGCTCTAAAATATCGGCGGAAGGTAGACCACGTCGCTCGGAAGGTTGACCACATCGCTCTAAAATATGGGCGGAAGGTAGACCACATTGCTCGGAAGGTAGACCACATGGCTCGGAAGGTAGAACACATCGCTCTAAATATCGGCGGAAGGTAGACCACATCGCTCGAAAGGTAGACCACATCGCTATAAAATATGGGCGGAAGGTAGACCACATCGCTCGGAAGGTAGACCACATCGCTCGAAAGGTAGACCACATCGCTCTAAAATATCGGCGGAAGGTAGACCACATCACTCGGAAGGTAGACCACATCGCTATAAAATATGGGCGGAAGGTAGACAACATCGCTCTAAAATATCGGCGGAATGTAGACCACATCGCTCGAAAGGTAGACCACATCGCTATAAAATATGGGCGGAAGGTAGACCACATCGCTCGGAAGGTAGACCACATCGCTCGAAAGGTAGACCACATCGCTCTAAAACATGGGCGGAATGTAGACCTCAACGCTCGGAAGGTAGACCACATCGCTCTAAAATATGGGCGGAAGGTAGACCACATTGCTCGAAAGGTAGACCACATCGCCCGGAAGGTAGACCACATCGCTCTGAAATATGGGCGGAAGGTAGACCACATCGCTCGGAAGGTAGACCACATCGCTCGGAAGGTAGACCACATCGCTCTAAAATATGGGCGGAAGGTAGACCACATCGCTCGGAAAGTAGACCACATCGCTCTAAAATATGGGCGGAAGGTAGACCACATCGCTCGGAAGGTAGGCCACATCGCTCTAAAATATGGGCGGAAGGTAGATCACATCGCTCGGAAGGTAGACCACATCGTTCGGAAGGTAGACTACATCGCTCTAAAATATGGGCGGAAGGTAGACCACATCGCTCGGAAGGTAGACCACATCGCTCTAAAATATGGGCGGAAGGTAGACCACATGGCTCGAAAGGTAGACCACATCGCTCGGAAGGTAGACCACATCGCTCGGAAGGTAGAACACATCGCTCTAGAATATGGGCGGAATGTAGACCACATCGCTCGGAAGGTAGACCACATCGCTCTAAAATATGGGCGGAAGGTAGACCACATCGTTCGGAAGGTAGATCACATCGCTGGAAAGGTAGACCACATCGCTCTAAAATATCGGCGGAAGGTAGACCACGTCGCTCGGAAGGTTGACCACATCGTTCGGAAGGTAGACCACATCGCTGGAAAGGTAGACCACATCGCTCTAAAATATCGGCGGAAGGTAGACCACGTCGCTCTGAAGGTAGACCACATCGCTATAAAATATGGGCGGAAGGTAGACCACATCGCTCGGAAGGTAGACCACATCGCTCGGAAGGTAGACCACATCGCTCTAAAATATCGGCGGAAGGTAGACCACATCACTCGGAAGGTAGACCACATCGCTATAAAATATGGGCGGAAGGTAGACAACATCGCTCTAAAATATCGGCGGAAGGTAGACCACATCGCTCGAAAGGTAGACCACATCGCTATAAAATATGGGCGGAGGGTAGACCACATTGCTCGGAAGGTAGACCACATCGCTCTAAAATATGGGCGGAAGGTAGACCACATCGCTGGAAAGGTAGACCACATCGCTCTAAAATATGGGCGGAAGGTAGACCACATCGCTCGGAAAGTAGACCACATCGCTCTAAAATATGGGCGGAAGGTAGACCACATCGCTCGGAAGGTAGACCACATCGCTCTAGAATATGGGCGGAAGGTAGACCACATCGCTCTAAAATATCGGCGGAAGGTAGACCACGTCGCTCGGAAGGTTGACCACATCGTTCGGAAGGTAGACCACATCGCTGGAAAGGTAGACCACATCGCTCTAAAATATCGGCGGAAGGTAGACCACGTCGCTCTGAAGGTTGACCACATCGTTCGGAAGGTAGACCACATCGCTGGAAAGGTAGACCACATCGCTCTAAAATATCGGCGGAAGGTAGACCACGTCGCTCGGAAGGTTGACCACATCGTTCGGAAGGTAGACCACATCGCTGGAAAGGTAGACCACATCGCTCTAAAATATCGGCGGAAGGTAGACCACATCGCTGGAAAGGTAGACCACATCGCTCTAAAATATCGGCGGAAGGTAGACCACATTGCTCGAAAGGTAGACCGCATCGCCCGGAAGGTAGACCACATCGCTATAAAATATGGGCGGAAGGCAGACCACATCGCTCTAAAATATCGGCGGAAGGTAGACCACATCGCTCGAAAGGTAGACCACATCGCTATAAAATATGGGCGGAAGGTAGACCACATCGCTCGGAAGGTAGACCACATCGCTCGAAAGGGAGACCACATCGCTATAAAATATGGGCGGAAAGTAGACCACATCGCTCTGAAATATGGGCGGAATGTAGACATCAACGCTCGGAAGGTAGACCATATCGCTCTAAAATATGGGCGGAAGGTAGACCACATTGCTCGAAAGGTAGACCACATCGCCCGGAAGGTAGACCACATCGCTCTGAAATATGGGCGGAAGGTAGACCACATTGCTCGGAAGGTAGACCACATGGCTCGGAAGGTAGAACACATCGCTCTAAATATCGGCGGAAGGTAGACCACATCGCTCGAAAGGTAGACCACATCGCTATAAAATATGGGCGGAAGGTAGACAACATCGCTCTAAAATATCGGCGGAAGGTAGACCACATCGCTCGAAAGGTAGACCACATCGCTATAAAATATGGGCGGAAGGTAGACCACATCGCTCGGAAGGTAGACCACATCGCTCTAAAACATGGGCGGAATGTAGACCTCAACGCTCGGAAGGTAGACCACATCGCTCTAAAATATGGGCGGAAGGTAGACCACATTGCTCGAAAGGTAGACCACATCGCCCGGAAGGTAGACCACATCGCTCTGAAATATGGGCGGAAGGTAGACCACATCGCTCGGAAGGTAGACCACATCGCTCGGAAGGTAAACCACATCGCTCTAAAATATCGGCGGAAGGTAGACCACATCACTCGGAAGGTAGACCACATCGCTATAAAATATGGGCGGAAGGTAGACAACATCGCTCTAAAATATCGGCGGAAGGTAGACCACATCGCTCGAAAGGTAGACCACATCGCTATAAAATATGGGCGGAAGGTAGACCACATCGCTCGGAAGGTAGACCACATCGCTCGAAAGGTAGACCACATCGCTCTAAAACATGGGCGGAATGTAGACCTCAACGCTCGGAAGGTAGACCACATCGCTCTAAAATATGGGCGGAAGGTAGACCACATCGCTCGGAAGGTAGACCACATCGCTCGGAAGGTAGACCACATCGCTCTAAAATATCGGCGGAAGGTAGACCACATCACTCGAAAGGTAGACCGCATCGCCCGGAAGGTAGACCACATCGCTATAAAATATGGGCGGAAGGTAGACCACATCGCTCGGAAGGTAGACCACATCGCTCGAAAGGGAGACCACATCGCTATAAAATATGGGCGGAAAGTAGACCACATCGCTCTGAAATATGCGCGGAATGTAGACATCAACGCTCGGAAGGTAGACCACATCGCTCTAAAATATGGGCGGAAGGTAGACCACATTGCTCGAAAGGTAGACCACATCGCCCGGAAGGTAGACCACATCGCTCTGAAATATGGGCGGAAGGTAGACCACATTGCTCGGAAGGTAGACCACATGGCTCGGAAGGTAGAACACATCGCTCTAAATATCGGCGGAAGGTAGACCACATCGCTCGAAAGGTAGACCACATCGCTATAAAATATGGGCGGAAGGTAGACAACATCGCTCTAAAATATCGGCGGAAGGTAGACCACATCGCTCGAAAGGTAGACCACATCGCTATAAAATATGGGCGGAAGGTAGACCACATCGCTCGGAAGGTAGACCACATCGCTCGAAAGGTAGACCACATCGCTCTAAAACATGGGCGGAATGTAGACCTCAACGCTCGGAAGGTAGACCACATCGCTCTAAAATATGGGCGGAAGGTAGACCACATTGCTCGAAAGGTAGACCACATCGCCCGGAAGGTAGACCACATCGCTCTGAAATATGGGCGGAAGGTAGACCACATCGCTCGGAAGGTAGACCACATCGCTCGGAAGGTAGACCACATCGCTCTAAAATATCGGCGGAAGGTAGACCACATCACTCGGAAGGTAGACCACATCGCTCTAAAATATCGGCGGAAGGTAGACCACGTCGCTCGGAAGGTTGACCACATCGTTCGGAAGGTTGACCACATCGCTCTAAAATATGGGCGGAAGGTAGACCACATCGCTCGGAAAGTAGACCACATCGCTCTAAAATATGGGCGGAAGGTAGGCTACATCGCTCGGAAGGTTGACCACATCCCTCTAAAATATGGGCGGAATGTAGACCACATTGCTCGGAAAGTAGACCACATCGCTCTAAAATATCGGCGGAAGGTAGACCACATCGCTCGGAAGGTTGACGACATCGCTCTAAAATTTGGGCGGAAGGTAGACCACATCGCTCGGAAGGTAGACCACATCGTTCGGAAGGTAGACCACATCGCTCTAAAACATGGGAAGGTAGACCTCAACGCTCGGAAGGTAGACCACATCGCTTTAAAACATGGGAAGGTAGACCTCAACGCTCGGAAGGTAGACCACATCGCTTTAAAATATGGGCGGAAGGTAGACCAGGTCGCTTGGAAGGTAAGCTACATCGCTCGGAAGGTTGACCACATCCCTCTAAAATATGGGCGGAAGGTAGACCACATCGCTCGGAAAGTAGACCACATCGCTCCAAAATATGGGCGGAAGGTAGACCACATCGCTCGGAAGGTTGACGACATCGCTCTAAAATTTGGGCGAAAGGTAGACCACATCGCTCGGAAGGTAGACCACATCGTTCGGAAGGTAGACTACATCGCTTTAAAATATGGGCGGAAGGTAGACCACATCGCTTGGAAGGTAGGCTACATCGCTCGGAAGGTTGACCACATCCCTCTAAAATATGGGCGGAAGGTAAACCACATCGCTCGGAAAGTAGACCACATCGCTCTAAAATATCGGCGGAAGGTAGACCACGTCGCTCTGAAGGTTGACCACATCGTTCGGAAGATAGACCACATCGCTGGAAAGGTAGACCACATCGCTCTAAAACATGGGAAGGTAGACCTCAACGCTCGGAAGGTAGACCACATCGCTTTAAAATATGGGCGGAAGGTAGACCACATCGCTTGGAAGGTAGACCACATCGCTCTAAAATATGGGCGGAAGGTAGACCACATCGCTCGGAAGGTAGACCACATTGCACGGAAGGTAGACCACATGGCTCGGAAGGTAGAACACATCGCTCTAAAATATCGGAGGAAGGTAGACCACATCGCTGGAAAGGTAGACCACATCGCTATAAAGTATGGGCGGAAGGTAGACCACGTCGCTCGGAAGCTTGACCACATCGTTCGGAAGGTAGACCACATCGCTCTAAAATATGGGCGGTAGGTAGACCACATCGCTCGGAAGGTTGACCACATCGCTCTAAAATATGGGCGGAAGGTAGACCTTATCGCTCGGAGGGCAGACCACATCGCTCTCAAATATGGGCGGAAGGTAGACCACATCGCTTGGAAGGTAGACCACATCGCTCTAAAATATGGGCGGTAGGTAGACCACATCGCTCGGAAGGTTGACCACATCGCTCTAAAATATGGGCGGTAGGTAGACCACATCGCTCGGAAGGTTGACCACATCGCTCTAAAATATGGGCGGAAGGTAGACCTTATCGCTCGGAGGGCAGACCACATCGCTCTAAAATATGGGCGGAAGGTAGACCACATCGCTCGGAAGGTAGACCACATCGCTCGCAAGGTAGACCACATCGCTGTAAAATATGGGCGGAAGGTAGACCACATCGCTCTAAAATATCGGCGGAAGGTAGACCACGTCGCTCTGAAGGTTGACCACATCGTTCGGAAGGTAGACCACATCGCTCTAAAACATGGGAAGGTAGACCTCAACGCTCGGAAGGTAGACCACATCGCTTTAAAATATGGGCGGAAGGTAGACCACATCGCTCGGAAGGTAGACCACATCGCTCGCAAGGTAGACCACATCGCTGTAAAATATGGGCGGAAGGTAGACCACATCGCTCTAAAATATCGGCGGAAGGTAGACCACATCGCTCGGAAGGTAGACCACATCGCTCGCAAGGTAGATCACATCGCTGTAAAATATGGGCGGAAGGTAGACCACATCGCTCTAAAATATCGGCGGAAGGTTGACCACATCGTTCGGAAGGTAGACCACATCGCTGGAAAGGTAGACCACATCGCTCTAAAACATGGGAAGGTAGACCTCAACGCTCGGAAGGTAGACCACATCGCTTTAAAATATGGGCGGAAGGTAGACCACATCGCTTGGAAGGTAGGCTACATCGCTCGGAAGGTTGACCACATCCCTCTAAAATATGGGCGGAAGGTAGACCACATCGCTCGGAAAGTAGACCACATCGCTCTAAAATATGGGCGGAAGGTAGACCACATCGCTCGGAAGGTAGACCACATTGCACGGAAGGTAGACCACATGGCTCGGAAGGTAGAACACATCGCTCTAAAATATCGGAGGAAGGTAGACCACATCGCTGGAAAGGTAGACCACATCGCTATAAAGTATGGGCGGAAGGTAGACCACGTCGCTCGGAAGCTTGACCACATCGTTCGGAAGGTAGACCACATCGCTCTAAAATATGGGCGGTAGGTAGACCACATCGCTCGGAAGGTTGACCACATCGCTCTAAAATATGGGCGGAAGGTAGACCTTATCGCTCGGAGGGCAGACCACATCGCTCTCAAATATGGGCGGAAGGTAGACCACATCGCTTGGAAGGTAGACCACATCGCTCTAAAATATGGGCGGTAGGTAGACCACATCGCTCGGAAGGTTGACCACATCGCTCTAAAATATGGGCGGTAGGTAGACCACATCGCTCGGAAGGTTGACCACATCGCTCTAAAATATGGGCGGAAGGTAGACCTTATCGCTCGGAGGGCAGACCACATCGCTCTAAAATATGGGCGGAAGGTAGACCTTATCGCTCGGAGGGCAGACCACATCGCTCTAAAATATGGGCGGAAGGTAGACCACATCGCTCGGAAGGTAGACCACATCGCTCGCAAGGTAGACCACATCGCTGTAAAATATGGGCGGAAGGTAGACCACATCGCTCTAAAATATCGGCGGAAGGTAGACCACGTCGCTCTGAAGGTTGACCACATCGTTCGGAAGGTAGACCACATCGCTCTAAAACATGGGAAGGTAGACCTCAACGCTCGGAAGGTAGACCACATCGCTTTAAAATATGGGCGGAAGGTAGACCACATCGCTCGGAAGGTAGACCACATCGCTCGCAAGGTAGACCACATCGCTGTAAAATATGGGCGGAAGGTAGACCACATCGCTCTAAAATATCGGCGGAAGGTAGACCACATCGCTCGGAAGGTAGACCACATCGCTCGCAAGGTAGATCACATCGCTGTAAAATATGGGCGGAAGGTAGACCACATCGCTCTAAAATATCGGCGGAAGGTTGACCACATCGTTCGGAAGGTAGACCACATCGCTGGAAAGGTAGACCACATCGCTCTAAAACATGGGAAGGTAGACCTCAACGCTCGGAAGGTAGACCACATCGCTTTAAAATATGGGCGGAAGGTAGACCACATCGCTTGGAAGGTAGGCTACATCGCTCGGAAGGTTGACCACATCCCTCTAAAATATGGGCGGAAGGTAGACCACATCGCTCGGAAAGTAGACCACATCGCTCTAAAATATGGGCGGAAGGTAGACCACATCGCTCGGAAGGTAGACCACATTGCACGGAAGGTAGACCACATGGCTCGGAAGGTAGAACACATCGCTCTAAAATATCGGAGGAAGGTAGACCACATCGCTGGAAAGGTAGACCACATCGCTATAAAGTATGGGCGGAAGGTAGACCACGTCGCTCGGAAGCTTGACCACATCGTTCGGAAGGTAGACCACATCGCTCTAAAATATGGGCGGTAGGTAGACCACATCGCTCGGAAGGTTGACCACATCGCTCTAAAATATGGGCGGAAGGTAGACCTTATCGCTCGGAGGGCAGACCACATCGCTCTCAAATATGGGCGGAAGGTAGACCACATCGCTTGGAAGGTAGACCACATCGCTCTAAAATATGGGCGGTAGGTAGACCACATCGCTCGGAAGGTTGACCACATCGCTCTAAAATATGGGCGGTAGGTAGACCACATCGCTCGGAAGGTTGACCACATCGCTCTAAAATATGGGCGGAAGGTAGACCTTATCGCTCGGAGGGCAGACCACATCGCTCTAAAATATGGGCGGAAGGTAGACCACATCGCTCGGAAGGTAGACCACATCGCTCGCAAGGTAGACCACATCGCTGTAAAATATGGGCGGAAGGTAGACCACATCGCTCTAAAATATCGGCGGAAGGTAGACCACGTCGCTCTGAAGGTTGACCACATCGTTCGGAAGGTAGACCACATCGCTGGAAAGGTCGACCACATCGCTCTAAAACATGGGAAGGTAGACCTCAACGCTCGGAAGGTAGACCACATCGCTTTAAAATATGGGCGGAAGGTAGACCACGTCGCTTGGAAGGTAGGCTACATCGCTCGGAAGGTTGACCACATCCCTCTAAAATATGGGCGGAAGGTAGACCACATCGCTCGGAAAGTAGACCACATCGCTCTAAAATATGGGCGGAAGGTGGACCACATCGCTCGGAAGGTTGACGACATCGCTCTAAAATTTGGGCGGAAGGTAGACCACATCGCTCGGAAGGTAGACCACATCGTTCGGAAGGTAGACCACATCGCTGGAAAGGTAGACCACATCGCTCTAAAATATCGGCGGAAGGTAGACCACATCGCTGGAAAGGTAGACCACATCGCTCTAAAATATCGGCGGAAGGTAGACCACGTCGCTCTGAAGGTTGACCACATCGTTCGGAATTTAGACCACATCGCTGGAAAGGTAGACCACATCGCTCTAAAACATGGGCGGAAGGTAGACCTCAACGCTCGGAAGGTAGACCACATCGCTTTAAAATATGGGCGGAAGGTAGACCACATCGCTTGGAAGGTAGGCTACATCGCTCGGAAGGTTGACCACATCCCTCTAAAATATGGGCGGAAGGTAGACCACATCGCTCGGAAAGTAGACCACATCGCTCTAAAATATGGGCGGAAGGTAGACCACATCGCTCGGAAGGTAGACCACATTGCACGGAAGGTAGACCACATGGCTCGGAAGGTAGAACACATCGCTCTAAAATATCGGAGGAAGGTAGACCACATCGCTGGAAAGGTAGACCACATCGCTATAAAGTATGGGCGGAAGGTAGACCACGTCGCTCGGAAGCTTGACCACATCGTTCGGAAGGTAGACCACATCGCTCTAAAATATGGGCGGTAGGTAGACCACATCGCTCGGAAGGTTGACCACATCGCTCTAAAATATGGGCGGAAGGTAGACCTTATCGCTCGGAGGGCAGACCACATCGCTCTCAAATATGGGCGGAAGGTAGACCACATCGCTTGGAAGGTAGACCACATCGCTCTAAAATATGGGCGGTAGGTAGACCACATCGCTCGGAAGGTTGACCACATCGCTCTAAAATATGGGCGGTAGGTAGACCACATCGCTCGGAAGGTTGACCACATCGCTCTAAAATATGGGCGGAAGGTAGACCTTATCGCTCGGAGGGCAGACCACATCGCTCTAAAATATGGGCGGAAGGTAGACCACATCGCTCGGAAGGTAGACCACATCGCTCGCAAGGTAGACCACATCGCTGTAAAATATGGGCGGAAGGTAGACCACATCGCTCTAAAATATCGGCGGAAGGTAGACCACGTCGCTCTGAAGGTTGACCACATCGTTCGGAAGGTAGACCACATCGCTGGAAAGGTCGACCACATCGCTCTAAAACATGGGAAGGTAGACCTCAACGCTCGGAAGGTAGACCACATCGCTTTAAAATATGGGCGGAAGGTAGACCACGTCGCTTGGAAGGTAGGCTACATCGCTCGGAAGGTTGACCACATCCCTCTAAAATATGGGCGGAAGGTAGACCACATCGCTCGGAAAGTAGACCACATCGCTCTAAAATATGGGCGGAAGGTGGACCACATCGCTCGGAAGGTTGACGACATCGCTCTAAAATTTGGGCGGAAGGTAGACCACATCGCTCGGAAGGTAGACCACATCGTTCGGAAGGTAGACCACATCGCTGGAAAGGTAGACCACATCGCTCTAAAATATCGGCGGAAGGTAGACCACATCGCTGGAAAGGTAGACCACATCGCTCTAAAATATCGGCGGAAGGTAGACCACGTCGCTCTGAAGGTTGACCACATCGTTCGGAATTTAGACCACATCGCTGGAAAGGTAGACCACATCGCTCTAAAACATGGGCGGAAGGTAGACCTCAACGCTCGGAAGGTAGACCACATCGCTTTAAAATATGGGCGGAAGGTAGACCACGTCGCTTGGAAGGTAGACCACATGGCTCGAAAGGTAGACCACATCGCTCGGAAGGTAGACCCCATCGCTCGGAAGGTAGAACACATCGCTCTAAAATATCGGCGGAAGGTAGACCACATTGCTCGGAAGGTAGACCACATGGCTCGGAAGGTAGACCACATGGCTCGGAAGGTAGACCACATCGCTCGGAAGGTAGACCACATCGCTCGAAAGGTAGAACACATCGCTCTAAAATATCGGCGGAAGGTAGACCACATCGCTCGGAAGGTAGACCACATCGCTCGCAAGGTAGACCACATCGCTGTAAAATATGGGCGGAAGGTAGACCACATCGCTCTAAAATATCGGCGGAAGGTAGACCACGTCGCTCTGAAGGTTGACCACATCGTTCGGAAGGTAGACCACATCGCTGGAAAGGTCGACCACATCGCTCTAAAACATGGGAAGGTAGACCTCAACGCTCGGAAGGTAGACCACATCGCTTTAAAATATGGGCGGAAGGTAGACCACGTCGCTTGGAAGGTAGGCTACATCGCTCGGAAGGTTGACCACATCCCTCTAAAATATGGGCGGAAGGTAGACCACATCGCTCGGAAAGTAGACCACATCGCTCTAAAATATGGGCGGAAGGTGGACCACATCGCTCGGAAGGTTGACGACATCGCTCTAAAATTTGGGCGGAAGGTAGACCACATCGCTCGGAAGGTAGACCACATCGTTCGGAAGGTAGACCACATCGCTGGAAAGGTAGACCACATCGCTCTAAAATATCGGCGGAAGGTAGACCACATCGCTGGAAAGGTAGACCACATCGCTCTAAAATATCGGCGGAAGGTAGACCACGTCGCTCTGAAGGTTGACCACATCGTTCGGAATTTAGACCACATCGCTGGAAAGGTAGACCACATCGCTCTAAAACATGGGCGGAAGGTAGACCTCAACGCTCGGAAGGTAGACCACATCGCTTTAAAATATGGGCGGAAGGTAGACCACGTCGCTTGGAAGGTAGACCACATGGCTCGAAAGGTAGACCACATCGCTCGGAAGGTAGACCCCATCGCTCGGAAGGTAGAACACATCGCTCTAAAATATCGGCGGAAGGTAGACCACATTGCTCGGAAGGTAGACCACATGGCTCGGAAGGTAGACCACATGGCTCGGAAGGTAGACCACATCGCTCGGAAGGTAGACCACATCGCTCGAAAGGTAGAACACATCGCTCTAAAATATCGGCGGAAGGTAGACCACATCACTCGTAAGGTAGACCACATCGCTATAAAATATGGGCAGAAGGTAGACCACATCGCTCGGAAGGTAGACCACATCGCTCGGAAGGTAGACCACATCGCTCTAAAATATCGGCGGAAGGTAGACCACATCGCTCGAAAGGTAGACCACATCGCTGTAAAATATGGGCGGAAGGTAGACCACATCGCTCGGAAGGTAGACCACATCACTCGGAAGGTAGACCACTTCGTTCTAAAATATGGGCGGAAGGTAGACCACATCGCTTGGAAGGTAGGCTACATCGCTCGGAAGGTTGACCACATCCCTCTAAAATATGGGCGGAAGGTAGACCACATTGCTCCGAAAGTAGACCACATCGCTCTAAAATATCGGCGGAAGGTAGACCACATCGCTCGGAAGGTTGACCACATCGCTCTAAAATATGGGCGGTAGGTAGACCACATCGCTCGGAAGGTTGACCACATCGCTCTAAAATATGGGCGGAAGGTAGACCTTATCGCTCGGAGGGCAGACCACATCGCTCTAAAATATGGGCGGAAGGTAGACCACATCGCTCGGAAGGTAGACCACATCGCTCGTAAGGTAGACCACATCGCTGTAAAATATGGGCGGAAGGTAGACCACATCGCTCTAAAATATGGGCGGTAGGTAGACCACATCGCTCGGAAGGTTGACCACATCGCTCTAAAATATGGGCGGAAGGTAGACCACATCGCTTGGAAGGTAGACCACATCGCTCTAAAATATGGGCGGTAGGTGGACCACATCGCTCGGAAGGTTGACCACATCGCTCTAAAATATGGGCGGTAGGTAGACCACATCGCTCGGAAGGTTGACCACATCGCTCTAAAATATGGGCGGAAGGTAGACCTTATCGCTCGGAGGGCAGACCACATCGCTCTAAAATATGGGCGGAAGGTAGACCACATCGCTCGGAAGGTAGACCACATCGCTCGTAAGGTAGACCACATCGCTGTAAAATATGGGCGGAAGGTAGACCACATCGCTGTAAAATATGGGCGGAAGGTAGACCACATCGCTCTAAAATATCGGCGGAAGGTTGACCACATCGTTCGGAAGGTAGACCACATCGCTGGAAAGGTAGACCACATCGCTCTAAAACATGGGAAGGTAGACCTCAACGCTCGGAAGGTAGACCACATCGCTTTAAAATATGGGCGGAAGGTAGACCACATCGCTTGGAAGGTAGGCTACATCGCTCGGAAGGTTGACCACATCCCTCTAAAATATGGGCGGAAGGTAGACCACATCGCTCGGAAAGTAGACCACATCGCTCTAAAATATGGGCGGAAGGTAGACCACATCGCTCGGAAGGTAGACCACATTGCACGGAAGGTAGACCACATGGCTCGGAAGGTAGAACACATCGCTCTAAAATATCGGAGGAAGGTAGACCACATCGCTGGAAAGGTAGACCACATCGCTATAAAGTATGGGCGGAAGGTAGACCACGTCGCTCGGAAGCTTGACCACATCGTTCGGAAGGTAGACCACATCGCTCTAAAATATGGGCGGTAGGTAGACCACATCGCTCGGAAGGTTGACCACATCGCTCTAAAATATGGGCGGAAGGTAGACCTTATCGCTCGGAGGGCAGACCACATCGCTCTCAAATATGGGCGGAAGGTAGACCACATCGCTTGGAAGGTAGACCACATCGCTCTAAAATATGGGCGGTAGGTAGACCACATCGCTCGGAAGGTTGACCACATCGCTCTAAAATATGGGCGGTAGGTAGACCACATCGCTCGGAAGGTTGACCACATCGCTCTAAAATATGGGCGGAAGGTAGACCTTATCGCTCGGAGGGCAGACCACATCGCTCTAAAATATGGGCGGAAGGTAGACCACATCGCTCGGAAGGTAGACCACATCGCTCGCAAGGTAGACCACATCGCTGTAAAATATGGGCGGAAGGTAGACCACATCGCTCTAAAATATCGGCGGAAGGTAGACCACGTCGCTCTGAAGGTTGACCACATCGTTCGGAAGGTAGACCACATCGCTGGAAAGGTCGACCACATCGCTCTAAAACATGGGAAGGTAGACCTCAACGCTCGGAAGGTAGACCACATCGCTTTAAAATATGGGCGGAAGGTAGACCACGTCGCTTGGAAGGTAGGCTACATCGCTCGGAAGGTTGACCACATCCCTCTAAAATATGGGCGGAAGGTAGACCACATCGCTCGGAAAGTAGACCACATCGCTCTAAAATATGGGCGGAAGGTGGACCACATCGCTCGGAAGGTTGACGACATCGCTCTAAAATTTGGGCGGAAGGTAGACCACATCGCTCGGAAGGTAGACCACATCGTTCGGAAGGTAGACCACATCGCTGGAAAGGTAGACCACATCGCTCTAAAATATCGGCGGAAGGTAGACCACATCGCTGGAAAGGTAGACCACATCGCTCTAAAATATCGGCGGAAGGTAGACCACGTCGCTCTGAAGGTTGACCACATCGTTCGGAATTTAGACCACATCGCTGGAAAGGTAGACCACATCGCTCTAAAACATGGGCGGAAGGTAGACCTCAACGCTCGGAAGGTAGACCACATCGCTTTAAAATATGGGCGGAAGGTAGACCACGTCGCTTGGAAGGTAGACCACATGGCTCGAAAGGTAGACCACATCGCTCGGAAGGTAGACCCCATCGCTCGGAAGGTAGAACACATCGCTCTAAAATATCGGCGGAAGGTAGACCACATTGCTCGGAAGGTAGACCACATGGCTCGGAAGGTAGACCACATGGCTCGGAAGGTAGACCACATCGCTCGGAAGGTAGACCACATCGCTCGAAAGGTAGAACACATCGCTCTAAATATCGGCGGAAGGTAGACCACATCACTCGTAAGGTAGACCACATCGCTATAAAATATGGGCAGAAGGTAGACCACATCGCTCGGAAGGTAGACCACATCGCTCGGAAGGTAGACCACATCGCTCTAAAATATCGGCGGAAGGTAGACCACATCGCTCGAAAGGTAGACCACATCGCTGTAAAATATGGGCGGAAGGTAGACCACATCGCTCGGAAGGTAGACCACATCACTCGGAAGGTAGACCACTTCGTTCTAAAATATGGGCGGAAGGTAGACCACATCGCTTGGAAGGTAGGCTACATCGCTCGGAAGGTTGACCACATCCCTCTAAAATATGGGCGGAAGGTAGACCACATTGCTCCGAAAGTAGACCACATCGCTCTAAAATATCGGCGGAAGGTAGACCACATCGCTCGGAAGGTTGACCACATCGCTCTAAAATATGGGCGGTAGGTAGACCACATCGCTCGGAAGGTTGACCACATCGCTCTAAAATATGGGCGGAAGGTAGACCTTATCGCTCGGAGGGCAGACCACATCGCTCTAAAATATGGGCGGAAGGTAGACCACATCGCTCGGAAGGTAGACCACATCGCTCGTAAGGTAGACCACATCGCTGTAAAATATGGGCGGAAGGTAGACCACATCGCTCTAAAATATGGGCGGTAGGTAGACCACATCGCTCGGAAGGTTGACCACATCGCTCTAAAATATGGGCGGAAGGTAGACCACATCGCTTGGAAGGTAGACCACATCGCTCTAAAATATGGGCGGTAGGTGGACCACATCGCTCGGAAGGTTGACCACATCGCTCTAAAATATGGGCGGTAGGTAGACCACATCGCTCGGAAGGTTGACCACATCGCTCTAAAATATGGGCGGAAGGTAGACCTTATCGCTCGGAGGGCAGACCACATCGCTCTAAAATATGGGCGGAAGGTAGACCACATCGCTCGGAAGGTAGACCACATCGCTCGTAAGGTAGACCACATCGCTGTAAAATATGGGCGGAAGGTAGACCACATCGCTCTAAAATATGGGCGGTAGGTAGACCACATCGCTCGGAAGGTTGACCACATCGCTCTAAAATATGGGCGGAAGGTAGACCTTATCGCTCGGAGGGCAGACCACATCGCTCTAAAATATGGGCGAAAGGTAGACCACATCGCTCGGAAGGTAGGCTACATCGCTCGGAAGGTTGACCACATCCCTCTAAAATATGGGCGGAAGGTAGACCACATTGCTCGGAAAGTAGACCACATCGCTCTAAAATATCGGCGGAAGGTAGACCACATCGCTCGGAAGGTTGACGACATCGCTCTAAAATTTGGGCGGAAGGTAGACCACATCGCTCGGAAGGTAGACCACATCGTTCGGAAGGTAGACCACATTGCTGGAAAGGTAGACCACATCGCTCTAAAACATGGGAAGGTAGACCTCAACGCTCGGAAGGTAGACCACATCGCTTTAAAATATGGGCGGAAGGTAGACCAGGTCGCTTGGAAGGTAAGCTACATCGCTCGGAAGGTTGACCACATCCCTCTAAAATATGGGCGGAAGGTAGACCACATCGCTCGGAAAGTAGACCACATCGCTCCAAAATATGGGCGGAAGGTAGACCACATCGCTTGGAAGGTAGGCTACATCGCTCGGAAGGTTGACCACATCCCTCTAAAATATGGGCGGAAGGTAGACCACATCGCTCGGAAAGTAGACCACATCGCTCTAAAATATGGGCGGAAGGTAGACCACATCGCTCGGAAGGTAGACCACATTGCACGGAAGGTAGACCACATGGCTCGGAAGGTAGAACACATCGCTCTAAAATATCGGAGGAAGGTAGACCACATCGCTGGAAAGGTAGACCACATCGCTATAAAGTATGGGCGGAAGGTAGACCACGTCGCTCGGAAGCTTGACCACATCGTTCGGAAGGTAGACCACATCGCTCTAAAATATGGGCGGTAGGTAGACCACATCGCTCGGAAGGTTGACCACATCGCTCTAAAATATGGGCGGAAGGTAGACCTTATCGCTCGGAGGGCAGACCACATCGCTCTAAAATATGGGCGGAAGGTAGACCACATCGCTCGGAAGGTAGACCACATCGCTCGTAAGGTAGACCACATCGCTGTAAAATATGGGCGGAAGGTAGACCACATCGCTCTAAAATATCGGCGGAAGGTAGACCACATCGCTGGAAAGGTCGACCACATCGCTCTAAAACATGGGAAGGTAGACCTCAACGCTCGGAAGGTAGACCACATCGCTTTAAAATATGGGCGGAAGGTAGACCACATCGCTTGGAAGGTAGGCTACATCGCTCGGAAGGTTGACCACATCCCTCTAAAATATGGGCGGAAGGTAGACCACATCGCTTGGAAGGTAGACCACATCGCTCTAAAATATGGGCGGTAGGTAGACCACATCGCTCGGAAGGTTGACCACATCGCTCTAAAATATGGGCGGTAGGTAGACCACATCGCTCGGAAGGTTGACCATATCGCTCTAAAATATGGGCGGAAGGTAGACCTTATCGCTCGGAGGGCAGACCACATCGCTCTAAAATATGGGCGGAAGGTAGACCAC